ACGGGACGGGATCCGACGGGGCGTTGACCCCGAGCCGCTTTGCCGCCCACAAGGTCACAACGAAGTACAGGATTTCCTCAATCACTTCCAAAGTAGTGATCCAGCGCGACAAGTAGATCCAGTACAACACTCCGTCTTGTGGCCACCACTTGACGAAGTGCACGAGGGCATGTCCTATCAAGACCACAGCCACGATGCCACGATAGATGACCAAAGCCTTGGTGCTCATGTATGGAGATGTTGCGAAAGCTTTTGGCCAGTCCCCTGGCTCCCAGGGCAAGACATCCACAGACAGTCCCAATCTGTCCATGGCAGCAGCCTAGAAGAAAGCCACAGTTTAACTGGAGGGCTTCGGGGAAAAGGGGCTGCAAGTAGATAAAACGTAAGGTCTGTGGATACCTTGGGTATTTCCCCTGACAGAAGCAATTAGACTAGCCCCTTAATAAGAGCCCTTTAAGGACAGTTCTTGTAAGGGGGAATGACCCAATGGATACCTGATCTGAGCTAAAGTCTAAACTCCTCGTACCCCCCTTGACAACCCTATAATACTCCCCTTGCTAATCCCCCATATAACCCCTTGAAGGAGTTTAGACCATAAATCCTGAATCCTAAATCCTACGCCCTAAACCCTAAATCCTAAACCCTAGATGCTAAACCCCATGTAATCCCCCATATAACCCCCCTGAAGGCGTTTAGACTATAGCTCATCTGGGCTTTTTGCCGTCCCTGCGCTGGGGACCTGGCGTGCTCACGCATCATCTGATCGAGCTTGCCAGAAAGGTCCGAGATCTCTAGGTCCTGTGACGCGGTTTAGGGTCTCGGGATAATCCCCGTAGATCCATAGTCCCCCCCTAAGTGGATAGAATATGGCTTTGGCTACATTATAGTAAGATCCCCATATACCCCATGCTCTATCTACTTAAGGGGGGCTGCATATTCAAAATAATCTCTTAATTACCGAGTTCCTTGAGGTTATAGTTTGGGTCGGGGCCCCCACCCACTAATAGTGGTATACTAGAAATGTATGAGGGCCCCAACACAAGTATCATGTCCCCTTGTGGTCACTATTAGTCGGTGACAACCTGAGCTATGGTACGAAATAATTCCTGAGGGAATACTTAGCCCACATTACTCGAGGAAGAAACAGGATCCTTTTTACATGAATATGAGGAATCTCATACCCCAGAAAGTATTAATCGGGTCCTTGTCAGTGGGCTACCCCCAGAATTGCGTGACGCAATCACTATACCGTTGAGTTAGACACAACCCGTCTAAAAAGGTTCCCTTAGGTGGACCCCCCACCCTGTAATAGTGACTAGAAAGGATAATAAGGCTTGTATTAGGGTCCTCTTATATTCCACTACTACCGGGTGGGGGGTCCTCCTAACCTATAATCCCTATATAACCCCAATATATACCCTATATCACAATACAATAGTTTCCGTTTTCTTTTCCATTATCCCAATATTACCCCATTATATCCCCTATATCCCCTATGATCCGTAAAATTGATCCAGAATAGGAGTTGAACTGAAGGGGCTCAAGGCTTTAGGCCAGTAGGCCTGATCTTGGGAACATAAGACAAACTCGACATGGATTATTCTCCCAGCAAATGGAAAAGAAAATGAAAACTTGTATATGATGTAGGGAGTATGGATTTTAGGGTTTAGGTTTAGGGATGTTACTCTCAATGATGGAGAAATCACATGGAAAATCAACTGGAAATCAAGTGGAAAATCAAACGGAATTGGGTGTATTTATAATTCAGGGTTTAGGAGGTTGCTTGGAGGGTCAGGAGGACTGAGTAAGTACCTGTGACCCCTGTAGGGCACATTACAACCCCAGGTATCACCGTTCTTAAGCTACTTCTTTTAAGGACCATGGGAATATAGTAAGTTTATGATTGCTATAAACAAATTCTGTTATTCCCTACTAACCCTAAACCCTCAAGCCTACATACTAGTTTCCATTTTCTTGTCCATTATTCCTATGTCATGTATACCCTTAATCCCTACTACCCCCCAAACCCTAAACCCTCAATCCTAAACCATAGATCCGAAACCCAAAACCCCCTTCGAGTAGAGCCAAGAGGTTTATGTGTAGGGTTTAGGGCTTAGGGTTTAGGGTTTAGGGTTTTAGGGTTTAGGGCTTAGGGTTTAGGGCTTCGGGTTTAGGGTAAATGGTTTAGGGTGTAGGGGTTGCACTTTTAACATGACAGAACTTTTGCTTTGAAGTCGTTGACAGGCGTCAAGGCCCAAGATTTGGAAAAGCCTGCTTTACACCTAATGAAAGATGCTGGGTGGTTCCGCTCCCCTGTCATCAGCTTGTGTCAAATGAATCTGCAGCTGTCCACTTTTGTTTAACCATATGAGGGTTATATAGGGTTTTATAAGAGCTATATAGGGGATTCATGGGGATTATACGCGTTATAATATGTGCTTAATTTCGTGATTTCTCGGGTTAAAAAGGGGCTGTATTCTTGCAACAAGTAATGCCTCTTGGCGGCTCAAGGTTCTCTTTGACAGACGGATCAACCCAGCAACATGTTGCAGGGCTCTACCTTCACGAGCACTCCACACCCCTCGCATACATTTAGGGTTTAGGGTTTAGGGTTTAGGGTTTTTTTTAGGGTTTAGGGTTTAGGATCATTGTGGTCGATGGTCAACACCATAATCTTTTGGGGGGTCCCCTAATCTTACGGCCCTGAACATTAGTATGATTTGGGTTACCCCAAAACGACGACTGTCTTGACATGGGCCCCATATGGCAGCCAGATGCTAGCTGGCATCCTACACTCTTCACACATTGGGTCTTGCCCCCACCCACAGCCATTTACAGTCTGTAATAGGGATCGAATCAATCTATAATTGCATTATGATTATTATCCAGCTCTTAATGACTTGGCTGCTTTTAAGGAACTTAAATTAAGTTAGCATAATATGGGTATATAGAGAAAAACACGGTATCCTTACTACAGTAACATAAAAACGAAAGAGTTCCTGAACAGGAGCCCAGATGAGTGGGGGCAGTATCCAGATCCCTAAAAAAAACACATCCTCATCCCCGAAGTGAAGGTATAGTCCCCCCTTAAGTAGATAGAATCTGGAATTGCCCTACATCATAATAAGAACCCCATATACCCCATATTCTATCTACTTAAGGCGTGACTATAGTGCTTTCCACACCCTTCTGTGCACCTTCTCCTCGCTCAGCCGCTTCCACTCGTTCACAGATGCTGTGAGGGAGTCCACGGTCTGCAAGAGTATGCAATGATGCTATAGACCCCTGACTAATAAGGGGTTATGTAGGGTTATGTAGGCTTCGGTTTTTTTTTTTTTATGCTTCGGGGTTTAGGGTTTAGGGTATTATTGGGGTTATATAGGGGCCCAATCATGGAGAATCACATGGAAATGAAATGGAAACGGGTGTTTAGGATCTAGGGTTGCAAGAGGATGCAATGATACTGGGGTTGGAGTACTGCGTAACTTACTGGTAGTTGGTAGCGATTAAAGTGAATAAAGGAATATGATATAGACCCCGTGCAATATATTCCATTCTTCCCTACTAAGCCTAAACCCTGATCCCTAATTCTCTGGCATTGGAAGTGCGGAAAGAAGCCCATCTAGATGGTTTCGTAAGGTTTCATTAACATTTCGTAGGAATCTCTGATGCTTCCTGAAGAGTCGCCCCCGAAAATGTGTTATTAGTGATAGTTCTAATGAAAGTAGGTTTAGGGTTTAGGGTTTAACTTCTTATGGTCATTTCATGCTGTTATTACTACTATTAGTCTTACTATTTCAAGGACAATGATATGTGCTAGGACATGATCGGAGCACCCAGCTGCCTCGTTTGACGACTTCAACCGCTTCTCCAGGTTCAGCTTATCCTGGCAGAAAGCGGTGCAAGAGAGCAACAGTCGCATCTACTTCTTCCGGTAATAATACTATAAAATACTACTAATGAAAATAAAAATGAATATCAATAATACTAGTAATAGTAAATACTAAAAATAGTAGTAATAATAATAGCAATAACCGTAACGTCGTAGTAGTATTAACAATGGGTTATCATCCTGTCCCCCATCCAGTCCTTGGAGAGATTGCTGGCGAGGATGTCTAGACCGGCAGGGCCCTCCTCTAGGATGGTGAACCTTCACCGGTTTAGGGTTTAGGGTTTAAGGGGGAATGAGGGAGTGAATACAAGGACTATTATAAGGGTATAGATAGTAGCTTCCCAAAATAAGGGGACCCCAATATAGACCCCAATATACTATAGCCCTTATAATTGGGACCCCCCAACAAATACCCCTAATTGAAGGAAACCCTAAACCCTATATAACCCCTATATAAACCCTATATAAACCTTGATTCAGCTTAGTCCTTGCACACAGATTTCCAGCGTTGCAAGCCAGGCCTCTGCTCGAAAGCTAGGAGCTCATGCTCGAACTCCTTACACACAAGCGCGACTCTTTCTGGACTCACGTACTGTAATGTGTATATTATAATATACTGTAGTATGTTAGAGTATAGTATAGTATATTATAATATATTATGGTATATTATAGTATATTATAGAACAAAGGTACTATAGTATAGTAGTACAATATACTACTATATTCTAGTATAATATCTTGCCTGCGATCGACAAGGAACGCTGTTCTGCGAGCCCCGGACCTCGTCGCTATCGTCGGGGGCGTCCGCATCCGGCCGTGGAGGCACGAACTTGGCCTCGGCATGGACTGTGGACCCGTTCCTTGCATGGAAGCTGCACGTAAATCAAACATGATAGTAAGAATAGTAATAATAATGGTAATAAGAATAGGAAGATAGTAAGAATAGTAATAATAATGGTAATAAGAATAGGAATACGAATAGTAAGGAGAATAGTAATACTTCTAGTAATAGTCATAATGATAGTCATAGACATACTAATAATAATTGGGGCACAACAAGGCCAGTTTGGAGTCCTTTTGATGGGGCCGCGCTGTGCAGTTGGCCAGATCACTTGCTCATCTCTGAGCTCACCTTGCGGAGGACGAAAAGATTTCCACGGTCCCCACGGCTGAGCCGCAGGTCATCATCAAGATAAGTTACCTGGAGGATGCCTGTGGCAGAATCAGGTGCCTGAATGGGCAGAAGGCCGAAGAGCGTAAAGACCTTGAAGCGGACTCCAACAGTTGTCTTCTCCAGGCCCTCCACTTGAGGCAGGTAGGTCCCTCCAGGACTTTCCTCTGCGCCCTGCTTGAACAGGAGGAAGTCATCCAAACGGGAGACGAAGGCTTCACGCTGCTCTGGTCCCAGTGGGAGGATCTCCGCATCGACGCGGTTTGGGCCTAGGGGTGTGAACTCCAAGTTCCGGGCCACGCCACCTGTGGGGTCCAGGTATTGCAGAATGGGCTGGTCTTGCTGAGGCCGAAAGAAAGGTGGCCGCCCAAGGCCCAGGATGGAGTCACTTGTCGTCCAAAGCAGTTCCCAGTCGCCCTTTAGCTGCGCGCTCGCCAGCGGCTCAGACGTGGGATTCAAAGCTTCTAACTCCGCAAAGAGTCTCTCAATGCGACTGTTCTCAGTCTGGTCAGCTCCCCGCTCCGAGCCTCCAACAGCTGATAGGAGCTCCTGCTTCAACGCACTCCGGCGCTGGCCCTGGAATGCTTGAAAGGCCGCAAAGGCAAAGGCTGCTGTCACTGCCGCCCCGACAGCCACGGTGGAAGCATCGAGAGCTTCTGCATCCAGGGCCCTGCGGACAATTTGCGGCCTGTAAGCTGATGCGGCTGACGCAAGTGCCATTGTCTGCCGTGCCCCACGCCACGGAGGCGCCACAAAGGTTCTTGGTAGAACCAGGAGGAAACAGACTGCTAGGCAGAAGAGGTGCCTCATCCGTGACACACGGGCCATTGATGAAAATCTGCAGCGCAGCACGCACGATGAAATTCCAGAACCCCAATCAGGACTGCAAAACATTCAGTGGCAACTTATGTATTGACATGTCGCTGTTGCTTGGCTGCTCCAGTCTTCTTTGTGGCCGAAAACTGCAGCATCCAGTGCCCGCCACTCTCAAACTCCGAAAGCTTGCCCTCTAGCCAGATCAAGTGGTTGAACTCCTTGGTTTCACATGTCCAGGCTAAGAAGTCACCAAGCTATGGGCGATCTAGGCACCATCCACTGATACTTGAAACGGAATGTTCTCAACCTACATCAGCCCAAATTGGTTTCCCCTGCACAACGTCTTCGGCTGCCACCTTATGCCACCTAGATAGAGGTTCGGGATATCACCCCAATCTTCGAATATCTAATCCAATGGAAATGGAAACTTGTGCTCCTGTAGCGGCTGTATGCCTTCTGTCTGCCTTTTAACCCCTACACACTACTCAGTCACGACTAGTATAAGCAACAATATTACGGGGAGCTGTGTGCCAGAAACTCTGCTCGACCTCTGAGGGGACCATGACCTCTCTTGTCCGATCCTCCACACATCCTAGCTACACCCTAAAACCTTTACCCTGAACCCTAACACCTAAACCCTAAATAGTAGTTTCCATGTTCTTGTCCATTGTCCCTATATAGCCCTATATTATAACGCACATATAAACCCTATAAAATCCCCAGACTGGTTGCCTGAATGAAACAATGGACCACCTGAGCAGTGAACGTATTCCCCACCCTCTGGAATCAAAGCCACCCACCCCGCCAATATTAAAAATTCCCGCTGTGGCATACCACAATGCGTTGGGACTTGAAAAAACATATTTGGTGGAGTTGAATACTTTGGGCGGGGTATAAAGGACGGAAATGCTGCACAATTCCTAGCGATCTGAATGAAGGTATCACGGAGATCAAATCTTAACCTTTGTCCACATTCCTTTCCATGGCCTTGGATTTAGATACTACCGGCTACTCCATAAAAGCTGGGCACCCCCAAAACCTCCACATGTGGTAGTTTCCCTAAATGGGGGGATCCTAATTTCGACCCCAAAGTACTAACATCGTTATTACAGGGACCTTTTAAAAGGTACCCCTGATTTTGGGAAACCCCAAACCCTATATGTCCCTATATAACCCGTGTATAACCCCTATGGCCCCCTTTAAAGGGACACCTAATTTTGGGAAACCCCCATATCCCATGCCCCAACCCACCAAGTCTGCTCTGTGCACCACACCCTCCGGTTTGCCTCTTTCAGCTGGTCGCTGAGCGATTTGTTCTGCCTGCTGTATTAGATTAACATGAATATCACACCTCCATTTAGGGGAACTACCATATCGGTAGTAGTATTGGAATCAACATTATGAATATTCATCTTAGGTTTATGAGGAATGGCGTCGGCAGGCGCTCAGAGACAGTTTCCGAACAGATTGCCAATCTGACCCTTTGTATAAACACCAATAAAACCCTAAACCCTAAAACCCTAAAACCCTAAGCCTAAACCCTAAAACCCTAAGCCGTAAACCTTGAAACCTAAACTTTAAACCCTAAACCCTAAAATCCTAAAACCTTAAGCCGTAAACCCTAAAACCTAACCCTAAACCCCAAAACCCTGAACCCCTAAACCTAAATCCCAAACCCTAACATGGCAGCAAGAAGGTGCAAAAGCACCACGCAGACGGGTAAACCTGTTTCGAATCCTCCTATTCTGAAGTTGACGCATTGAACAGCATACTGAAAAGGTTGAGATTTAGAGTTTGGTTGAGATGCAGGGTTTAGTGTTAAGGGTTTAGGCTTGTTGGGTTTAGGGTTTAGGGTTTTAGGGTTTACGGTTCAGGATTTAGGGTTCATGGCCTTTACCAATCCTGATCGTCCCTACACCCTAGACTCTAAACTTGTAGCTACAGTGCGGCAAGCCGGATGCACGGACCCAAACTTACTGGTTCTTAGTAAGGGATAAGGGAATAAAATCTCTAGATAATCCCTTGGACAATATATTCCCTTATTCCCTAGTGAGGACCAGAAAATCCTAATGAGGGAATCCCTAAGCCCTATATAACCCCTGCAAATCCCTAATTTCGGAATCCCCAAACCCGAAACCCTAAACCCAACTTCCCCCTTTAAAGGGACCCCTAATCCTAGGAATCCTAGCCTCAGGAACCCCCCACTTGAGTAGCGTTTTTTGGTGGTTAAACCTAGTAGGATAATATTCCTTATATAAAATACTATACCCCAAAAGGAGGATATAATCTTACTCTATAATGGGTACCATAGTATCCCCAAATAAAATACTACTCACTCAAAAATCTGAGGTCAACCATGATCCGACCTTTAGCCTCGGAGAGCTGAAACTCAAACTGAAAGGGGGGGGGTCCTGAACCCAAAATTAGGGGGCCCTTTAAGGGGTGGGATATAAGGCTTATACAGGGTTTGGGGATTCCCAAAATTCGGGGTGCCTCTTTGGAAGTCCCTGTAATAAGGACTATAACAGAAGGCGATCTACATTGGGGTTCACCTATTTCGGGAGACTACCACATGGCCAGGATCCCGGTTTCCATTTCATGTTCCATGTTTCTTGCGTGCATTTTCCATTATCAAGGTAATATCTGTAAACCCGCCCCCCTACTTAACCCTAAACCCTAAACCCTCCTACTTCTGGAAAACCCTAAACCCTTAATCCTGAACCCTTAACCCTAAACCTTAAACCCGAAACCCTCCTACTTCTGGAAACTCCCTGAACCCTGAATCCTAAACCCTACGCCCTAAACCCTAAATCCAGGTTCTGGGTTAGGTCACTCCCCATTATAGCAATAGCTCCTTAATATGGAATTAGTAAGGCCTCAATATACCCACAACAGGGTTTAGGGTTTAGGGTGTAGTCCCTTGTGGTACCCTAAACCCTAAACCCTACCCATTACTGGGTGGGGATTGACTGCAGGAGCCTCTTTAAGCGGCCGCACTCCTCGGAGACGGCTCGGAGATCCGCCTCGACCTTCGTGAGCCGCACCTTCCCGTCAGGAGGGCTTAGGGTTTAGGGGGGGTTTAATATCAAAGCGCTGAATAGTCATACTCATCATAGTATTAATAAAATAATCGTAATAGCAATATTAACAACAGTAATACAAATCATACTAATAATGATACAGATAAGCCTAATACTAATATCAAACAGAATATTAAAAACTAGTTAAGATAGCAGTGCTAAAACCATAAGAAGAAGAAGCTTAATAGTAATGATAATAATAGTAGTAACCAGAAGACAATAACAGTAGATTCCGAATTTGGATTTGCGGCGAAAGCCCAAATTTCAGAACTTGGGAAGCTCTGGAATGTCAAGGTTCTGAGATTCTCAGCTTTGCCCGAATCAGACTTTGCTCCGTCGAAACCCACTTCCGATCATAACAACGCGTCGCTTTAGCACACACTGGGCATGAATGCCACCCACTAACTTTGGCCCCTAAACCCTAATCCCTAAACCCTAAAACCCTAAACTCCTAAAACCCCTAAAACCCTTAAAACCGCTAAAACCCCTAAAGCCCCTAAAACCCTGAACCCTAAACAGCATTTTTCAGGAGCTGATAAACATGCCTTTGCCATAACCAATTCAGGCTGACTCTGCCGATCAAGGTACATCCGCCAAGATTGGCTCATGACTGTTTAGGTTCTAGGGTATAAGGTTCAGGGGTTAATCTAGGGGTTCAAGGTCTAGGGGTTTAGAGTTTAGGGTTAAAGCTGTGGTCCCAACAGATACGGAAGATTCCAGCTGCCACACGTGTCACAACCTAACCCCGTAGAAGCATGAATCATGATCAGAAAGGCTCTCATTCGCTTGAATACAGCGTCGGGCTTTATCTGAAGATGTCATGCGATGCTACCCATGACGCTGGAATGTTTGCTGCCTGCTTGCTTCATGGGGAGCTGGTTCTCCCGCGAAGCAGCAGGCAACTTCAGCAAATTCAAGGGTTGCCAACAAACAAGCACCACAACCTGAGTTGTGCAACAATCTTAGCTGCACGTGCGAGAGAGGCCCAAGCTCGAACGCTCATACCTTGCGCGCATGTCCTACAACTCCAAACCACCCAAATTCGCTCGAATCCAACCATTGCCCAACTTTCTCCTGGACTATAATTGATGTTCGATATACTTTATTCTACCCTAAACCGTAAACCCTAAATGGTAGTTTCCATTTTCTTTTCCATTATCCCAATATAACCCTAATTTTACCCCAATCTAACCCGGACATAACCCCTGTATAACCTCTATCTAACCCTTATATGATGCCTATATTAACCCCTATATAATCCCTATATGATCCCAATGCACTCCCTATTTAACCCCCATATAACCACAATAGAACCCCAAACAAAACCCCTAACCCCTAAACTCTAAACCCTAACACAGCACCTGCCTGAGCCTTCGCCTTCTCCCGGATGTTCTCATCCCGCTGGAGTACGGCCCGACCAAGCTTGTCCACAAGGTCAGCAACCTGGCTTAGGGGTGTAGCATTCAGGGTTTATAGGGTTTAGGGTTATAGGGTTTAGATTTTTGGGTTTAGGGTTTAGGGGCAAGATGAAGACATACCCCAACAATGGAGAATCAAATGGAGATGGACATGGAAAAGAAATGGAAACTACAACATATAGGGAGGCTACATAGGGATGCTACCCCGTTTCGCTAATTATGGTAAATCAAGCGGAAACAAAATGCGAGACAACATTCGAAGTATACGGGGCCTTACAAAGATGTTTGTCAAGATTATGCGCATGCAGGCCAGACAAGGGTTCCGGCAGTACCAAAGCAGGAACCAAGTTTGACGCTTCTGTCCAATGCCCCTCTTATAAGTCCAGGCTTTCGTTTACAGACCACGTTGTCTCAGCGAGTACAATGGTGAACTTGACCTCTCGGTTGCACAGCTGGAACGTACTGGGGCTAGTAGAGAGTAACGGGATACAATCCGTATATACTCCCTACATGATCCCTATATAGTACATTCCCTTATTCCCTGCTAACCACTGCAAGGGAAAGGCACCAGCGCTGCGCT